AATCCCCAGCAGGCAGGTGTGCCAGGAGAAGAGCTGGAAGGTCGGTCTGTTAAACACAAAGAGACAACCGGAGAGAGGCATAAAAGTTACATTTACTGTCACATGAAAGATCATTAGTAATATATCCAAGTAAGGCTGATATGGTTGTCTATCTACATGAGTACCAGTGCTTGAATGCTGGTTATAGCACTAACACTGGCATTCAAATCTCACCTGTACTCACTAAAGAAGATACCCTAAGTTACCTTCAATTTTTCGTGTACCTGCGCAATCATAGATTTTTCTTACTTCCTAGGTGTCAATTTACAGCCACACTCAATGATGGTATGATGAATAAGTGACAGGCCTTTCAGCATTGAAAGCCTAAAACATGTCATTCAAATTGCAAAAAATGACCTCGACAGTAGGTGTTTTTGTTAGTAATTTTATTCTGATGTCCAATCACTGTTGGATTCAATTACAGACTGTTGAGAAATTTGGATTTAACACCTATGTGCCGTTGATAGAGAACACTAAAGGTCACCGACTTCTTTTTCCTTTCCTTCAATTTCCTTTAATGGCAAAATTATCTTTTATTACCTGAAATTTGGTGCCGACGCCCACTCAAGAGCCAAACACGCCAGGTCAACAGCAGCGTAGGCAAGCAAGTAGAAAACAGTCACCAAGCTTGCTATAGCGTTGAGCTGGCCTGCAAACACCACACACTGAAACCCAAGCACACCACAAACCACAGCTTAGGGCTGGTTGTAATTCTGAAAATACACGACAGCACATCGCAGAAACTCCGCTCACCTGTGCCAGACCCCAGGTGTACAGCACTGCCACCCACGGATTCCCCGAGGTTGACATCATGGCAGCCGGGGCTAATGGCAGACCTGTGAGGAAAACAGAAGTCTCTTACAAAAAAGCTTGCTGCATAAAGAAGGCCCTGATCTGATGAGTAAAAACCTCAACCCCCACCGAAGAGGTGATCCAGAGCAAGAGCGTGGAGGATACGAGACGCTCCGATCATAGCACACATTGCGGCTGACAGAGAGGCGCAGTATATCCCGATGGTGACAAACGGCGGCCAGATGTTTATTTTCTGGAGGAACCCATAATCCTGGATCAACAGGGTCCTAAGGAAAATGATACAATTGACAACTCATTTGTGGAATGGCCTCAATTATATCAGACAACACTATTATGAGGCATTTCAGACCTGTCACAGGTGGCGCTGACCAAAATGAAGAGGAGGATGTAGACTGTGAAGGTGTAAAAGACAGCTACGATGGTGCCATTAGGGATGGAAACACTCGGAGTCTTCAGCTCCCCTTCAGATGCATGTGGAGTGAGAACAAACGTCAGGGTGTGCATGATCTCTGTGCATCTCTTGTTTGACATTACTCTGCATAATGGCATGCACATAATTCAAAGGTAAAACTAGCAATGGCAGAATGGAAGTATACTGCATTACAAGTAGAAGTCATGCATTCAAAATGATACTTGAATAGTATCACAGGCTCAATATAATTAAAATATTAGTATTATTAGTATAAGTACCCTAAAAGTACTTGTTCTGCAGGCAAAATGGCCCTGTAGGTGTTATATTATTACATTTTATTATTGTATCATTTATATTTATGCATTAATGTTTCATAAGTAGAATATTACTGTTGTATTTTGTCAAGGTGGAGCTAATTTACTACTACTGCATATACTGTTAGATAGTTGATTATGTTTTGTAGATAAAAATCTTCAGAAAAACTTATAACTAAAGCAATTAAATAAATGTACTGGAGTATAAAGTACAATATTTCCCTCTGAAATGTATGTGAGTAGAATTATTAGCATAAAATAGAAATAAAAAGTCAAACTGTACTTAAGTGCTTTATATCAGTAAATGTACTTCTATGTGTAAGACAACAAGCTTTAACCTGACATGTTCGCTCCGGCCATGATCCCAGTGCAGCTGGTAAACATGACGGCAAACACGGTGGCAAAAGACATGACAGAGTTGGTGCTGTAGTCCAGAGTGTAACCAGCTGCAATGAGAAAATTAAGGAACAGCAGAGAGCCCTTTAATAGATGTTCCTAAATTTAAAAAGGCATCATGTAGCTTTCTTGTGAATGTGCTTTCATATCCTCACTAGCATCACCCTCGTGCCCTTAATACTCACAGCCCAGGTTGTTTCTCAGAGTGGTAGCATTGAAGCCCGTATAGCTGGCGTTGTAGTGGAGGGTCTGGTTGCCGGACCCCCGGTGGGTAATGACAAAATCACGAGGTTTGACCGCCACAGAACTGATGAAGATGGACAGCAAGGATACAGTGACCACCAGCAGGATGGCGAAGGCGGTGCGGGAGTAGATGTGGGCGCCCACCAGGCAGACAAGCAGACAGAGCAGGAGGATTACAGAGGAGTACAGCACTGTGTACCAGTAACCCTGAGGAAGCACCCGCACCCCCCCGGACACAGATGACTCTATAACAGAGGAAAACAGTGAGAAAACTGAGAATCCTCAACAAAACCAAATGAAGTAGTTTCGTTAGCTAGAAAAATAGATTAGAGAAACAAAACATAACCAAAAACTTACCAGGATCCACACCAAATACGTCAAGTATCGCCTCCACAAGACCAAGGACATATTCTCCACATGCACACACTTTGGCCAGGAAGAACATCAAACCGATGCTTCCTCCAAACTCTGGGCCTAGAGACCGACTTATCATGTCTGGTCACATTTGGTTAAGGTTGACGTTTCAGTTGAAATGAATGAAACTGCAGGCAGGATCAAGTAACACTCAAGAAAAACACCATTTTGACAATTTGTTTGGTCTCTGAGGATACAGTAGGCCCCACCACCTTGTATGGCACCATTTGTGGAAATGGCACAGATGGACAATATTGTAAGAGATATAATGGTGTAGGCTACAATCAACATTAAAAGACCCTGTAACAGCCCAGCATGACCAACCACAAACCCTGCAGGAGAGATCATGTTAGTGTTAGTCACATACAGCACAATGACTCTGTTATACTGTAAGTGTGTGAATCACACAGACATCCACGGTCTACAAAACAAAACTGCTGCTACTTTTCTCTCTTCACGCATGCATCGCTCACCAGTTCTCAGAAACAGCACGATGCTGAACATGGAGAGGATGGTTGGCACCATCACCCCAAAAAAAGTGTTCAGTTTTCGAGGGTCTTTACTTGGTGTCCCAGAGCTGGATTCAGGGGTGATGTCCGACCTCGCGACGCATGCCACTGTGGTCAGACCACACAGGCCTGAGGTGATCAAAGGGGTGCGTTCGTTTGACATGGTTGGTGAGAAGAGACTGTCTGCTTGCCCTGTGAAAAAGAAATCAATGAGACCGGTTTAAAACAGAAATATAACTACATAATTTAACGTACAGCAGAGAGGCGTTTCTCATCTTTTAAGTACAAAGTAAGAGCATTTATTAGAATTTTATGTCAGTTTTATTTCATAATGTATACAGCTTTCTTTTACATGATGTATTGATGTTTCAACTCACATGTAGCAACAAGCCACAAACGCACAGGCCTTTGAATTTTCACACCAATGCACACCCAGCTATGTTTCCACGCTTTCTGGCGCTTCCTTAAAGTGAAGATCATCATGTGCATAGTAGCACGCGTCACACGCTGCCTTGTGAACGCTTCCAGCCTCAGACAAACAAATTACTTTAAAGGGTTGTGAGGCTTTTTTGAGCAGCAGGACATAGGGTATTAAAAGTCTGACGCCAACCTGAACATATTTTTGGATAAGATAAACCAAACCTGTGCAACCATTTGTTTAACATAATCAGAAATTAGATTCAGTGACTCGACACAAGTAAGCAAATGAAATCCAGAATGTCCAGTGCCACTCAGGTGCCACATAGTCATATGATCATTTAACCTGTTCTACTTCTTTCCACACTCAGTCATTTCTCTTCTTTGCATACCTTTACTACAGAATAGGCTACTACAGGTATCAAAATGATGACTCACTGATTCACAGACCCTTGTCTGTTTTTGCATCTCAGCTGAGCAGCGTATGCGCCTCTGTGCACAGCTGACCTTGTTTGTTTTGTCTCTCAGGTGCCAGGGTTCACCTGTTCCATTCTTTCTCCAGGAGGCAGTTTTCAATACTGAGGCTGTTGCCAGAGTTCAACACCCCCCCCCTCAGGAAATCATAAGAGCAGCAACAGGAGTCACATGATAGGGATAGGCAAACTAGGACAGAGGTTTTACACAACAAAGCATGAAAGGACATGAAGGGACATAATCGCCTAATTATTCACACCCAGCAACTGATTATTTTCCAAGATTTACACATTATTTGCACAATTAATTGATTGATGATTAATCCAATCATGTACATAATTGCTGGTGCAGCCCAGTTTGACATGTGTTCACCATATGCATTTCTATCCACCATGGGCTGACTGAAAGTCCTTTAAAGCACATTGTGAATTAAGTGTTTTTTTGTTTTTTTAAATATAGTTGCACAACATTAAAGTGTTGAGTAAAATGAATATGATGGAACATACTCTCAACCCCATAGTGGTGAGATGACTTGTCAGTTGTTTTAACAGGGAAGTTGAATGTCAGTGAGACCTGAGTACATGCAGTAAACCGTATCATTGCGTAAAGCTTTACTTCCTTTATTGTCGATGATGCTCAAAGTGGCATTTAGCCTCGAGGTCGTGCTCTGCAGGATGCTGTTAATGATGCACTGAGCTGACATTTCGGATGTTGATGCAGACCGCCTGCACCTATCTAAAGAGGCCCTCTCAGGGTCCACGGGACGTACTTTAGGAACAAGTCGGTTACCAAAATAAATCACCGTTTCCGTCACATTTGCGTAGCATGCGGGTGGAGCAACTGCGGCATAAAAACTTTAAGTCTTTTCGGGGGCAAATGGTAAGAATCAGCTAAAACAGCGGGTCAATAATAATACGCCATGTTCGCAGCTGCATCTTGGGTAAATGTCTGTTTACGTTTTGAGGCTGGTGGCCAGGAAGTGGCCACGCCGGCAGTCATAAAACACCGCACCCGGTCTGAAGTGCTCCTGCACTGTGTCATGCAAGCAGCAGCATCCAGGATGTTTAGGGTAAGACGCACCCTGAGAAGTTTCAATCCCCTGCTGAAGCACCGAGCATCGGCAAACTCACCCCGCTGAACCTTCTCCAGACAGTTCCACCCACTTCTTGCTTCAAAACTCCCCTTTGAGGCCCACCGAGTGCGGCGGTGTGTCTCTGGTAAAAAATGCCCGGGTCAGACTCCCTGTGGACCGTCAGATGGAACCGCAGCAGGCCGATGGACAGGGCTGAGCTGAATGCTGTGAGAAATGCCCAATAACAACACAGCAGCCATGGCACGCCTCGCCCCCTATTATTTGTTCAAAAGTGTCACGGGAGTGCAGAATCCACCCATGTGACTTCCAAAGGGGAGGGCAGAAATACCACAAAGATAAGCTAAAGTACTGCTTGTCTAAAACCACGCCTCTTACTTTCAGAACAGTTAAACGTGACCTCGCCAGTGATTTATAAATAACTCCTAATAAGTGATTTCCGTTGTGAATCTGTTGCATACACTAAGAAGAACATACAGTAGCAGCCTATGTGAGCACCAGGCGCTGATGTAAAGTTGCGCTGTAGGCTGGACTGTAACGACATTTCTCCACACCAGGGGTCACTATTGTGGCAAAGATGACGTCCATATCTCCCGAAGGGCTCATTGTGTGGCAGGACTAAACTAAAATATCATGTGAGGTTTTCATTAAAATAATGGATTTTACCACATTTAAATCGCGAATACCCAACACATCCTGCTGCAGGGGATGACGTGGGGATCGCATGATGTTAGAGAGAGGAAAGGGAGAGCAGGTTTACTGTAAAATGTCTATTACACTACTTGTTGGACAGGCAGCATCTCCTCTGGGAGACAGTGACTCCCATTACTTCACGATCTCCTCAACAAATGGTTTCCAGGCTCTGGCCATGTCTTATAACACAATATGAACATGCAAAAATGTAATGCTCTCTGGCCACAAACAATCACCTATTGAGAAATTTAGAGTAAATAATATGCATCCTTTTTTAATATTTGTTCCATAATCCCTGCTGGGATGTTAAATCATAACACTGGACAAAAAGTTGGATTAGTATTGTGGATTTTTCTTTATTGTGTCATTTTGAAAATATAACAAAAAAAAATGACATGCATGCTTTGATTTTACATGACATGACCGGTGAAGAGATGTCATGTTTGAAGACATATAAAACACTCTGCCTTGAATAATACATTTTGTTTTCACAACAAAAGTTCAATTAACTAGGAAAATAATCTCAAAACAACATCTGCTCCTCCCCTGTCACTGAAAAATCCAACATAACATAAACATCCAAATGAAGTAACAAAAAGCACTTTTGTGAGTGGAGGACTTTAAACTGTGAGCCTACACACTGTTGTTGAGTTGGTCCACAGACAAACTAATGAAATGACACAGAGATGTGTGATTTCAATACAATGGGAGAATTTCTGAAACACCCAAGTTATTTTAAACATCCCATAAAAATCTCCAGGAGCCCTCAGGGTCATTAACTGAATCAATCTCTGTCCAAAATGTATCCTTATCCAACCATCAGTAAGGTCTTTATGTTCTGATCTGTTGTTCAGGGAGACTGTCTATATGCTCTGTAAATGTCCCATCCAAAGTGTAGAGGGGGGACAGTTAGCCATATGTCCAAACTTTCCTTATTGTGCTGCACCCTGCAAAGCATAAAAAAATATTTAATTTGTAAGGACCCCTGAAATCCTACTTGAGCGATCTAAAGAACCAACTCTTAGCTTTTCCATCTGATCAGGTAAAACTGTTCGAGCATGTCCGTGGAAGAAAGGGATCTCCAACCTGCAGAGTGGTCTGATCGGGGTTTTTTTAGTAGCCTATCTATGAGATGGGTGTGGTTGAAACATGCATCATGCTCGGGTTTGAGGATCCTTCTGCAAGCGCTCACCGCGTGATCTGGCAGCCTGTGTCTGAATGATGATAACTGACCGAGAGGGCCGCCTCTCATTAAACTGGAAGAAGAAAGCCCACACAGTCCATCTACTGACGGGTTGATTTTTGTTGTTGTTGTTGCACAGCCAGTAACCTTTTTTAAAAGATCAAATTATTTTCTATATGAGGCACTTGGCAGATTTTGCTCAGTAATCCGTCGCGGACTCGGAGGCGGTTGTCCTGATGAAGTGTCGACAGAGGGAGGAGGAAACCAAAGAGAGGAAGGAAGCGAGGATAACGTCACGAGAAGCAGAATCGGAGTAAAAACGGTCTGAGTGGGGTTTAATGGACAGTCCTTGATGCGGGCCGGGGACCGAGCTGTGGCGAATTTGTGTTTGTTTACGTCGTATCGGACAAATATGTTTTTGTCGACTCGTCGGGCGTGAAAAGGGCCAACGCACGTCGGAGAGGAAACGCAACCCAGCAGCAGCCGATTTCATCTTTTTAGGAGCTCCTCTATAAAGCAGGGAAATGGAGATGTGTGTAGCCCTCCTGCGTTTGCCTGTTTGCTGAAGGATTCGGAAGCAGCCTCATCGTGACACACGGAGCTTTGAGTGGATCTCCTCTGCATCTCCCCCCTTTTTTTAAATGAGTGGAAAAGACATATAGTCAAAAAAAAACAACAACCCTCCGCTGGATTTTGAGGACGCTGCTTTCAGTTTTTCTTTTTTTGTTACGACAGACAAAAGCAGCAAAATCATCGGGAGAATTAACAGGTAGCCGCCCCATTATCAAACGCTGTGACAGCCGCTGTAGGCCAGCCTATTGACAGTAAGATGGCTGGGTGATGATGTGCCTAGCTATTCGTGGCATCATTTTCGACTAAATTAATTTAGCTACATCCGCATTCTAGGAGCTCAGCATCTGAAACAAGATGTGGTCAAGGCCTTCATCAGCCACTCTGGGCTGATCAATATGTGATGTAGCCTGCATTCATAGGGGCCTTCCTATTTGAATGCGATCTCTAAATGCTGCAGACAGGGAAATAGCTTATTTAGTACATCTTAGACCTTTTGAATACTGCTTTTACTCTTTTTTTTCTTCTTTACTGCGGTGTTTATTTCAGTGCGGAGCTCCCGGGCCAGGCCTGCATGTGTTAACCTGGGAGCCACACGGTCTCTCTGACATTAACATTTACTCTGTCAAACGTGCGGTGGTTGTGGGCCCTGCACTATAGCCTCCAGCTGCAGACGTTGCCATGCCATGATGGTGTAGTTGCACATCAGATGTGCAGCCACAGGGGTGTGGCCAATCACACCTATTTGATTTTCTGTCTCCTTGTGTAAAAAAAACTTTCCCTCAGGTGTTCAGGCACTGAGGACATGCTTAACCTAACCTTCCTCATCAGCATCATCATGAATGAGGCAGCCTCTTGCCGACTAAGGCCCTGCATTAGTGCAGGTGGACTCTGTGTGATGTGTGTGTGTCCTCTCCGCACTCCTCTACTCCTTGTCCATTGGCATGACTTGAGCACAAATGTGCCTGTCCTCCAGCCGATGCTCACAGGCAACGAAAACACGCATCTGAGCATCTGGCTGGACCCATCCAGGCCTGATATCTGATGCATCACCCCCCCACCCCCCCTCTCTTTTACACCTCCACCCTTAGCTTTTCTCCTCCTCATTGGCTAAATGAGCAGCTGTGCCAGGAGACTGAGACCCATGATGCACCCCTTTTGGCTTCCATTAGTGCTGTGTGATCCATCTGGTCGCAGGTCCCTCCAGGGAACAGTGACCTACTGTAGCTAATTGCTCTTCCTTTGCAGTGTGCACGGTGTGCGTGTTTGCTGTGGAGTGTTATCATGGATTTGAATTGCTCAAACAAATGCAAATAGGAACTCCCTGTTTGGGAAGTGGTTTGAATGTGTAACTGTGCTCCTATCAGGAACAAGAAATGCTGCGTGAAAGCAAGATGTGGTGTACTGTGTGTGACCCCACTTAGCCCATAGCTAAAGGATACATCTCCTGCCATTCTTGGACATATTTATCTGTTATGTTAATTTTAGGAGTCAGGGTGCCTCAGATGACAAGAGAGTCATAAAGATGACAGTGTGTAGAATTGGCATATGTCCTGACTTGATACACAACCTGTAAGTGCACACTGTAACAAGTTCCCTTGGCTTTAAAGGGTGTGTTCACTCAGTATATGCTGCCTGGTAGCGATGCGGGCTGCTGATAGCAGCTTAGTCATTACAGATTATTCTCCTCAGTTAAACCAGGCATGGTTGCGCATCCATAAACAGATTACAAGGTTTTTTCTCACTGTGTGGGCTCAGTAAATCTTAAGAGATTAAAATGTGTGTTTTTATTTTATTATTTCTTTCCCAAATCTGGGACAAACAGTATTTTAAGCAAATAATTACTTAATTGATTCATTTCTTTTTATGAAAGTGGATTCCTGGATTACTGGATTATGAAAGCATGAAACTATGCCAATCCCAGTGGGCCTCACTAATATATGTCGGCAGTCATTTTTATTAATTTTAAGATGATACTTTATGTAAATCAGAGTCTGATATTTGAAGTTGTCCCACAACCAACAGGTGACCGCTTGGACAAATCCAAAATGAGTGAGCTGGAGCAGCTTCGCCAGGAGGCCGAGCAGCTTAGGAACCAGATAAGGGTAAATACAATATTTTTGTATTTCAGTTTTCATCTTTAGCATGATAATACTGATATATTAACCTGTTGTTTAATGTCCTTTAATTCCATCAGGATGCCAGGAAAGCATGTGGAGATTCAACCCTGACACAGGTAAGTGCCACTAAATGTGTGTATTATAATAAATGTCTCTAAATCTTTTTGGGGACTTGATTCAAGTGATTACCATTGGTTGGATCACCATTAATATGGAAACATGATAACAAGCTCATGGGAGAAACCTGTCAGAATTGAAAGACCTGGGAGTTTTTTGGTTCACACAGAAAAAGAAGAGCAGCAACTTGAAATCTTACTCTACTTATTTTGTAACACACTTTAATGATTAGTATCCATAATTCCATAATTACTTATACCCAATTTCCACAAACATGATCACCAGAAATATAAACCTGGCCCCCCCGGATAAGTATAGTTTCACATGGTGTTGTGCTACACTTTGCATGTGTCTTTGACATAAACATTTATACATTTTTTCCATAAAAAAGTATTTGCATCAAATTAACTCGTCAAATGTGGCATGAAATATTAGCCGTTTTTGTCTTCAGTGTCTGGTAGCCTAGCTGCCATATTGTGTCTCACTTCACACACAGTTATCAGTTAAAGTATGAATATCATTAGAATTAAGTTTTGATTAACTACTGCTCACTAATCTAGATAACTGCTGGTCTGGATCCTGTGGGTCGGATTCAGATGCGCACGAGACGCACCCTCCGGGGCCACCTCGCTAAGATCTATGCCATGCACTGGGGTACAGACTCAAGGTGAGTAAATACTGTACAAAACCTTTGATGTTGTTGGCTATGATTGTGATTAAAGCATTTCAGTGTATGTTGATGTGCATCACTAAAATAACCCATTATAGTTTCCCTGTTCAGTATAAAATAAACAACTTAGCAAAAAACTCTATGATTTGGCACCAAACAACAGCAACTTTGCATGGGGTAATACATATGGAGTGTATAATGGAGCAGTGTGAAGATATGTAAACAAAGAACTGGGTTGTCAGCCAAAATATAACAACCAACATTGCATCATCCAGTCTTCAAAAAGAGAAAAGGACATAAATCAAATCTTTTTATTGTATCTGGCTACATGCTGCTGCACAGGACCGTAACGCTGGACTGTGTTATCACATGATGTACTGAGATGTTGGTTGACACATTTGGCTCAGTGTGAAACAAGTATGCTCACTGATCAAAAATAAACAAACAACCCCCCCCCCCCAAACACACACACACACACACACACAATTTGTATTAAACTGACCAAACTGGTATACTGTGCACTCAGTCAGTCTGTTGTCAAAATAAAAAACATTAACTTGATCATTTACGTAACTGTAACTTGGCACAGGACAAACATGCAGGAGTCCAACTCCTTTTACCCATGCTAGTGGCTTTATGGGTGGTAATGTCAGTTTGTTGGTCGATCAGTCCACTGTGGTTCAGACCGAAAGATCTTAACAACTAATGGATGGATTCTCATGAAATTTGGTACAAACGTTTGTGGTGCCCAGAGGATGATTTCCGCATGTTAGCATGCTGATGTTAGCATTTAGCTCAAAGCACTGCTGTGCCTAAGTACAGCTTCACAAAACTGCTAACATGTCGATTTTTAAGAGCACAGAGCCAAAACATCTGAAAGTGTCCTTTAACACAGTTTTGGAGCACATTGTGCTGATTTAGTTTCAGTGCTATTTGTAGACTCAAATAGCACAAAAGCTTGAGCGCTAGTTATTTTCCACGTGTGGTTTCTGAAATATTTGATAAAACCAAAGAAATGAATGAAAGGCTTGAATGTTATTCTCCGCAGGCTTCTGGTTAGTGCCTCTCAAGATGGAAAACTGATCGTCTGGGACAGCTACACCACTAACAAGGTAAAGCGTTGAATAATTCTTCTCATCAGATCATCAGCTGCATAGTCAAACTTGTCCTCCATCCGAACTGGAAGTGAAAGTGGAGTAAAGTCTATCTCTTGTAGGAGTGTGGTTGACTTGTAACAGCTTCCTTTACAACCATTGCTAAGCCTTATTGTAGCACTGACAGTGGTATTAGCATTGGATTTTCTGTGTTAACACTAACCTATTGTTAAACTCTTATTAAGGGTTTGCATTTGATTTCCTTCTACTCCAAAAGTTAAATGTCATCTGCGTCCAAATACCTTTCCCCTCGTAGATACACGCCATCCCCCTGCGCTCCTCCTGGGTGATGACCTGTGCGTACGCCCCTTCTGGGAACTACGTAGCCTGCGGAGGCCTCGACAACATCTGCTCCATCTACTGCTTGAAGACTCGCGAGGGCAACGTCAGGGTCAGCAGGGAACTACCTGGCCATACAGGTGAGAAGACACTGCACTTCTGTTTGCGTTAGACTCTACCTGTGAGTCAAACTGATGAGACATTTCAGACGAGCGTGCACCAGTCCCCCTGCCAAACCACTAAGCAATGAAGATTTCATTTACATGGTTAATTAATCGCAAGGCAACAGTCTTAATGAGCTGAGACATCAACTCCTGTCTGTGAGACTCAGATTTGTGACACTAGCAACTGCGCTGCTTTATGTTAATTGTTTTAACACAATTTGTGAAATGACACAAAATGGATTTATTGCTGTTTTTCCTGCACATAAACACAAATACACTGCATTTACAAACAACTACGGATGAAGATGAGGTGCAAATTAAGATGTAGATGTAGGCTACATATGGTCTGCCCTACCTTAGCCTGCGCCAAATGCAGCCTGAGAGCAATACCTCAGGCACTACTACAGATATTTTAGGGGTTAAAAATAAATTCACCTAATCTATGAAAATTCTGCTAAAAAGACACTAGAATGGATAGAATAGGAAATGTTATTAATCCTAAGTGATTTTAAGCAGCGTTTACATGCAGACATTCATATATTCAATCGCATTTCAATTATGTTTTTGTATTACAATATGCAATAACTAATTCCATTATAATTTATTTCCTAATTCAATGGCAGTCATTCTCTCTGCCCGTGCCATGTTTTGTACATTCAGTGTACTGTTACAATAATATTCTTATTTTGTGGTAATTATTTTACAGTAGACGCTAGTAATGCCACTCTACTATCACCTACTCTAAAAATCTAAATGTGCATGTTTCACTCAGTTCCGCAGCAGAAACTCATCCAAATGCCTGTTCTTTTTGTTCTCTCAGGTTACCTGTCATGTTGCCGTTTCATTGATGACAATCAAATCATCACGAGTTCAGGAGACACCACATGGTGAGCCACAGAGAGCAAAACACAGACGTGCAGTGCAATGTTTTTCCTGAGCTGATCTGTCTTAACTCTGCGCTCTCTGCCCCAGTGCACTGTGGGACATTGAGACGAGTCAGCAGACCACGGTTTTCTCGGGCCACAGCGGCGATGTCATGAGTCTTTCCCTGTCGCCCGACCTCCGCACCTTTGTGTCGGGAGCCTGTGACGCCTCAGTCAAACTGTGGGACATCAGGGACAGCATGTGCCGGCAGACCTTCACAGGCCACGAGTCAGACATCAACGCCATCTGTGTGAGTGTCCTCAGGGCCTTGTAACCAAACTATAAGTTGTCAAATAAGTATTTTTTGATTCATAGTGTTTTTTTTATCTGGGATCATAGACAGTTTAATTGGAACTCCCTCAATCTTTACACATAAAGTGCAGCTCACTTATATTGGGAAGCCTGTGAAAACAGCTGCATGTTTTCTTCTGAAGCTCTGGAGGAGCTTTGTCTTAATAACCCTGATGATCAGCTTGGGCTTAGACACTATGAATGTACTATAAATTGTACTGCATTTACAGTAGCAGGCGTCTACTGAAAGATGCTACTGATTTGAAATAGAGGAAGTTCAGTGTTTTTGTACTAGATACAATACTAAAATCAGGACATCTCGGCCTCTGCTGTATTGATTTTAATCATTTCATTTAATCTACTGTATTTCACAAGATAAGTGAGGTCATAGTCTATATAGTTACTATTGCTAACCAATTAATAAACCTACATTTTAGCCACAAAGTGGATAGTAAAAGATGCTTTGGGTTAACACATTTTGACATTTAAATATGAATTTAGACTTAACCCAAGAGATGGACAAGCCTGTTTTGTATACAATGTACTGTCTGTCAGAACATTTATCTATTAGAAATTTTAACTCCAAATAACTGGCCTTGGTATCAGCCCAGCAGTGGTCTAATGTGGTAGTTCACTCGCCCGTGTACTTGGCTAATACACTATCAACAGAGCACCTCCAGGATTTGTCTCGGTGACATCACACACTGTCTTTGGGAGGGATTTAAACTTGGACCACGCCTGAGGATTAAAAAGATTATCAATTAACACCATATATGAACATCCTGCATCAGTTCAGACTCCAACTGAGGCAATCTCCAGTTTGAATTTGGGGCTGATGCACCACCCAGGTTATCTCACAGTGTGACAGGTGGTGACTGATGCAGTCTTAAAACACTGTGCTCACCAATGAGAACTCAGTTTTCCATCATATTAGGGCAAAGTATGAACAAGGGAACATCTTTGCAGAATCACATTCTTGTAGAATACGTTTACCCCGTCTTATTAAGAGTATTATGGTTTTTTTTTAAGTTATTCACATTTCCTGCTTCACACCCTTCTTCCTGGACTCCTCCTCAGTTCTTTCCCAATGGCAGCGCCTTCGCCACAGGCTCTGACGACGCCACCTGCAGGCTGTTTGACCTGCGTGCAGACCAGGAGCTCAGCCTCTACTGCCATGACAACATCATCTGCGGTATCACCTCCGTGGCTTTCTCACGCTCCGGTCGCTTGCTGCTGGCTGGTTATGATGACTTTAACTGCAACATCTGGGACGCCATGAAGGGAGACAGAGCAGGTGGGTAGAACAGGAAACAGCAGTGTACTGGTGAGATGTCAAAGAATAAGATCTGAAAAGGATTATATTCATTGTGGAGCTACTTCATTGAGACATCAGAGGTCTTAATATTTTTTTTGTAGTTTTTGTTGCCTCCAACCTGAAAAGGTAGTTTACTATGTGTTTTCTCTTTGCCACAGAGGGACGACAGGTGGCGTGCGTTTGTACACTTCAGATATAAACTTCTATATAAGGGTTGTAGGATGGACTTATAGGACTAACAAGGAAAAGTGCTATATTTTTTCACTGTAAAGTAAAACTGACCCTTATTTGACATACAGCTGCAATATTTCGCTCAAAAAGTAAGTGAAAGAGCATTTCGAAAAAAAAAAAAAGAACTGAAAACATATTTTTTTTACAACTCAGTGCAACATTTTAACAAGACATAATGCTCAATTTCAATATGCAATTCAGCATAATGTAACAAACTGAACAGAAATAATGTTAAAAAAATTTTACCCCCTTGAATCACATGAATTTTTAAAATTTTACATATGATTTATTTTTAAATAGAGCTCCATGCCAGACGTACTAGGGAATTCACACGTCTCAAACCTTATTTTGTAAGAAATGTACATCTTTGGTCAAACGGCTTGTTGCAAGTTGAAGCAGTAACAAACACTAAGTTGCTGTGTTCTGTGTGGTTTTAAAAACATGCAACAAGTCTTGTCTTGTTTGTCCTCATTACTCCTGCAGGAGTCCTGGCCGGCCATGACAATCGTGTGAGCTGTCTGGGTGTGACGGATGACGGCATGGCGGTGTCCACCGGGTCCTGGGACAGCTTCCTTAAGATCTGGAACTGAGCCATGCACATAAACCGCAAACACACACACACACACACACACACACACACACACACACCCCTTGGGCCACAGTTTGCACCCTGTATTCACTGTATGTAAGACTCAACAGACAAACTGCAACATTGTACTGTACATAATATATATGACTTAGATATGAGTTTATACACACACACACACACACACACACACCACTGTATATGCAGGACAAGACAACAGAAGCCCTGAACACATGCCCACACTACTTACAGCTGATTTAAGTGCACAGCAGCAAGGCTACAGTACCTACATACCCCCCCCCCCAACACACACACACACACACACACACAGATGATCTTAAAAATGTGACCAAATACAGTTGGATCTTCGGCTGCTCAAATAAAAACACAAATGCCACTATGACCTGAAGCCTTTTAACGCGTCTAACACACACATTCACGCACACGCGCACATACACATACACATACACATACACACACTTTTTCCTGAGAGACACTGGTCCTCGAGTTAAACAGGGGGAGAAGACGTTATTGGACAATTCTGTCTTTGTTTACAATGAAGTCAAAAATGCACTTCAGACAAAGTTTCTGTGCTATTTTTGTCTCGGTACCACACGTATCTCAGTGATGCTAATGTGAAGGAACAACGGCCGTGGAAGAGAATCATGAAAGTCCATTAACGCTGAAAGAAAATAACCACTGACAGACAGGGTGGGCCGATGATCGACAGAGTCCAAGGAAAATGTCAACTCTTATTTTCATCCTGCTCAAAACATCATGTAGTCGCTGTTTTTATAGATATGTACCCCCACATACAGTACAGTTCATCTGTTCAAGTTTTTGTTCATTTTTTTTTTACACTTATTTTATTCATGTTCTCCCTGTGTGCCTCAGATACACTTTAAGGATTATTAATAGAGAATATTCATGAAGTTAAATTAACAAAAAAAAATGTAAACAGATCTGAGATTCAGAATGTGGATGAAAAATAAAAGCATTATAAGACATCTTAATAGAGCAGGAGCCAGTATTCATACTTTGACTTTGTCAATGTATTATCTGGACATTATGATGGTATAATTGTACATAATATTAATAAATTATAGCCTCTCCTGCCAGTTATTGTGGTTTCTTTTTTCTGGTGTATGACTGTATGACACAATGTCTGTCCTGGTCCTGACGTAGGACTACATGGACTCACACAGTAAAATTACCAATGGTGTAGTTTCTAATTGGCCTGTGTACATTTTAACTAGTTTATTTTACAGTCAAACATTTAATCAAACACTGAAAAGATGGTAGTTTTTAAGAATCTCTTCAAGTGAAATGTTCAGTCATTGATTTTTTATTTTATTTTTTTAAACGCAACATGCTACGCACACAACTGTTTAACATTTAACTTATTGTTTTCTTACTAAGGCCTACCATTAGTTACAGTTTGTTATGGCAAACAAAAGCAAAATAAAGGACACAAAACAAATTTTGTCCTTTAGTGAAAATATCCTATTAAAAAGCAATATAATAAAACCAGCATAATAGCCACATCAAAATTTATAGTTGTATTTCCAAAACTTGAAATTGGAAACGCACAAACACCAGGGATACAATAACTCTAGTTGCTCACAGCAAACCAAGCAACATATTTAATCAGACCTGTGGAAGGAACCTGAACTGCACTAATACAATTTTATCTCCAATGTTGGGAATCAGTAGTGCTCAATGTTTCTACTCCAGAAACAAAACCAGTCATTTGTGCTCAGGTCAGAGCAGTGTTATTTGATTTGTTCATTTCCACTCATTACTAATTGTTAACACACTAATAGTTCAGGTAAGAGTAGTTCACTTTATGATTTTTCTTTATCTGCTGATTTAAGTTCAACTGAAATGTTTTAAACGGGAACAGATTTAGCTGCATTTGGATTGAAATGTTTTGCCTTCAGCCACCAGGGGGTGCTGCAGGTTATTCGGCATCCCAGGACACAGAAGGATAACCCCCCCCACACACACACACACATTTTTTTTTAAAGGTTTTTGGCAATTCATTTAATGGCCTTTCTTTAAAGCAGAGGCTTATAAAGTAGTGTCATATATGTAACACAAATCCAGTGACCGGGACAATAGGTCCAAGCTGATTATAGCACCATCATGTGGTTAAACACAGACATACTGGTATGTTCACTACTGTTGTTAAGGGCCCTGCACACCCATGATAAAACCAGAGGTAATTTTAAATTAGCCGCAGTAACTGAAAACCCCTGTAGTGGTTTTTTTTTTTGGAAACAATTATTTTGGAGATTCAAGCTTAGCCGCCAAAGAAATAATATTTCAAGGGCACGTAGTTCATAGAAATTTGAATTTACTGTGGTCTAGACATTTTACAGAATACATTGAAATGAAACACGATTAATACAGACTAAAATGAGATCAACATTTTATTTTTCAAACAATTCTGTATTAAGACATGAATTCATTCAACACAATCTTTTGAAATTTTTTAAAGTTTATCAGTCTATGAAATACAATCTGGAGTTAACCTCTCACAAGTAACACAGACACGCGCACGCACACTAAAACATTGCAAAGATGTTCACCGTCTTTAAAAAAAAGTTATTGAAAAAAGAATAATAGATATTTGTAGTTCTGTCCAAAGATCCATGTCGTTTTTAAGCTCCCCAGGTTTGATCTGCCTCCCTCCCAGCTACAGCTGCTAATCCATTCATACGTTATTAATTAGAAATACAAGCTATGAGAGAGGAGTGCCCCATCAGAGTATTATTTATCATCCATTTATCGATACTTAGTGTTCATAAAGGCAGTTTCTGGGATTTCATAATAGCAAAACGGGAACAAGCATCCCAAAAGGTGATTGCGTTAAACTGACAGAGAGAAGCAGTTATTTCTTGTGATTACAAAACAAAAGTTAAGTACAGAATTATTTCTGTAACAAGCGACACACAAACCAGCCTACATTCAGTCTGCCAAAGGCCACTGAAGAATCACTTCCTGCAAGTCACACTAAGATGGACAGCCAGGGTTTCGACTTTTTCAAATGCTTGTATTGCTTATTAAAAAGAAATGTCGTCGCCCGACAGGACAACCGTCTCTCAGGATGGTTTTCTTCACCTTCAGCGCTCCACCAACATCTCAGTGGTGCCTCTTTCTTTCTGATAATTGTGTGCATCTTCAGAGCCGAGTTACATGAATTCAGCAATCATATCGGTTCATGCTTGTGATCAGATGGTTTCCCTAAAACTAATGAGTTGCAAGGTTCTGGTCTTTTAATGGCTCTTGGCACAAAATGAAATAGCACTTTCACACCTTAAGGTGCTTTTAAGGAAATAAACAACCAGAACTACTCTTCTGTGTTACAAACCGCAACTCATTAAACAAATTTCTGCTGCATTAAATTAGACAACAAGCTTTGGAAGTGACTGCCTCAATCAAGTTGATGATATATTGTATTACCTCACCCAATAACCAGAAGTAGATATTTATCACGAGCATTAGTTGTGATGTGGAGCTCATTTTCAGTCTTTTTTTATTGGTAAAATAAGGGTCTTCTTGAAATACTAAGTCAAATCGTTTAAGTGAAATGCTAACCAGAAAAACACCTGTCAACACACATCAGGCAATACCTGGCATTTTTAAACAAGTCTGACGCTACGGTATTTTGCCTTCTGTGTACTTTAGTTAATATAGTTAATTTTAATTTGTTAATGCAACATAAGTATGTGTGTTAAAGGGGAACCACACCAATTTTACACATCAAAGTCTGTTTACAGGTGTTGTTGGGTCCACAGACTGCATATAAAGATGAACGCCGCCTCTCCACTTCCCCTCACTGTACAAAAATGAAACCAAAATATCCCGGATACGCGCGCTACCATCTTGCACTGGTGACGTCACTTAGAGCCAGAGTCTGCGCACTTGGGATCGGAGTTGGAGCCACTGTATTTAGGTCCCACCCATACACCCGCCGACTATATTGAGCGAGCATGGCTCAGCTGTCAATCATGCCACAAAACCCCTTTTTATAACATCACACGACTTACTGAAACCAAACTTATCACACACTTTCACATAAATCAGTGTGATTAGAACTGACAGAAACCATCTTTGGGAACAATTTATTTGACTTTTTAATTTGGCCGCCAGGGGGCGATAGAGATGTTTTGGCTTCACTTTTGGGGAGCTGTTATCTGTACATCTTCATACAATCAATGGTTGGGTTTGGTAAATTGCCTCATGTGATGTCACATAAGTCATCATCTGTTGGGGCTGAAGAATACTATCACTATAAGGTGATCTTACCAGACCTCGGTAACCTGCTGCTCCACATCTCTGCTTCAGGCACGCATCTCGAAGTTACATCAGCAACTAAGCCAAATCCCTGCCTGAACTGTCAGGGATTTGGCTTAGTTGGGTTCTTTTCACAAGAAATAAGCATGGAATAAAAAAAGACGATACATTTTGATATATCCGTTTTATAAAGAGTCCATTGTGTTTCTGACTGTTACAGAAGTGCATTGCTGATTCAGCGGAGTTCCCCTTTAAAGACTTTCATACTTGGTGACAAAAACACTTGGCCAGTCGTCTTTGCCTGTATTCTGTAAATGTCGCTAAATGCTGCCTGTTTGTGCCACAATCTCAAAGCCAAGAGCCAGTAATACTCAAGGGCCATTACGCCCCTTCGCATCACCACCTGTGTGGCGATTCCGGTCATCACCTGAGCGTATTAACAGCCTGTCCACCCCCACGTAGACAATTTACACCAGAGGCCAGATCAAACACCAATCTGCGAGTCATCACAAGTGTCTGAATCACAGCCACAGTTGACCTTTCTGGTAACAAGAAGACGGACATTATTTTTCTGTCAAGATAGCACAACAGAAATGTTGCAGTTATTGACACACAGCTGTCTCAGCAGACTACTTGATATACTACCACCAACAACTTTGACTGATTACATACTGACGAGTTTGACAACTGCTGAGTGAATGAGGAAAAAGAACTCCATCTCTCGGTTACGCTCGATTATAGTTTTGATCTCTGCCTTAAATACATTGTGCTTTGATTAATAGAGCAGGACACATTTTTATATAAATACAAATCTGTCTTATAGATGTACTTTTATTTCTCAATATAGACTAATTTACATATTTTATAAAATAGGCTTCTCAGAATATATCAAGCTAATATCCCCACTACTAAGATAACATAGTCAACACCATTAAAGAACAAGCGCTTACCTCATCTTTGCTGCGGCAACCTACAATTTCTGAGCAGACATCACACACAGAGTTAAATCTGGTCTGTGCACAAGAACTAAATTTTCTCTACAAACACGTTTCATACGTATGGCTTTTCTCTATGCTGGCTCCCACTGTGAGTAGATCCTTTCGATACTACACTGGATTCACTGGACACATTAACTTTTTTGTTATTGCAACTTTCTGAATGCATTATCGTCTGTTGATCATTTTAGGTTACATATGTGGTGCCAAAAAAGCATTTCAAGTCCATCTACAGGATATTCTGGATTTGACTTAAGTGCACTTAACTGGCACCCGACATAAATCATAATGAGGGAGCAAATGTAGTTGTGCCTGGGGGGCGTCTCATAATCCATCCTCAAACCTCTCTCCTTCCCAATTCCAAGGCACTGCTTAGACTGTAAACATGGCAGATTGATAAAAAATTATGATTTGACCATAAAAAGCATGAGCGCCAGAGCTCCTAGTGGATTGTAATTGTAACATCTGAAATGTAGGTCATGGCACATAACAGATATTTAAGAGTAAAAACACATTCGCTAAAAGGGGAAAACAACTTTGATACAGTACTATATAACCTATTTCAATGGCTTACATGCACACCAAAGTATCTGCTCGAGATACAGTATATCTGTAAATGTTTACTGAAGTGTAAGTGCTTTCCATGCCCATTTACAGTTTGTTTCTCACCATAAAATGTACCACCTATTTATATAATCTTAACCCTCTGGGCCCTGACCATATACTGCATTTTTAATAGATTTCTTTTTGATCATATAAAATATATCTCCTTAGCTTAAAAGCATGACTATCCCGTTCATCACTGGCCAAGATTCCTTTCATAATATCCAAAAGCTTTTCACACACAAATTTACAGTCTCATTCTCTTAACTTTAACATGTCAGCAACTAATTATAAGATGAACAGACTTGTTAAAAATGTTGTTTTCCCAACAACTCCATGCTGATAAGGTGTATGACAGGAGTGCAGAAAAAAAACATCGTGATTTTAAAAATGTCCACCTGTTAATACCAAAGTGCTGTGGCAGCACAGTGTCGTAACTAAGTGAATCACTGAAACAAAAAGCTTGACTCATGTGTTGACATACCCTCTGCTGACAGAAAATCACCAGGGTACTTCCTGATAACGCTGCTTCATACTGTACCATACTGCCTACAGTATGAGAGCACAGTCTCTCCCTTATGCAGCTGACAAAACAAAGCAGACAGTTATTCCCCTAAAAAAGCAGCTAATAAATCGTGAAGCCCTAATATTAGTAAGTAGTTTTTGGATATATATATACTGAAAGGAACATTGGGTAGTGACCCCGCAGTTGCAGAATATGCTGTGAACTTTGGCAGAATGTGTAGATATAAAATATATTAAGTCTCATGTGCTCCAGCTGTGTTCACCACAGTGCCTGATGAGATGAAGTCCTCTGTGTTATTGCAGAGTCACTCTATATTAAATCTTCCCCCTGGCCTAAGACAAATAAACTGTACCAAGAGCTGTTCTACTGCAATCCCCTGGACAAACACTTCTCACAAAAAGATCCACACTAGCGAAATAGTCTAAGAACTGAAATATAATACAGCAGAGTAGATCACTGTGGTAGGAGGGTGAAAGGACCCCAAAACCGATCTCCCTCAATCACGTTAATCTCAGTGAAACCCTCCTTCCACGTTTCTCCAACTTTGTCATCCTACTGCCTAACACTACCAGCTAAATACATGAACTCCCCTCTTCAAACAAAGACTCCACAAGAATAGCATATATTGCAATATAATAGCAATATAATTACAGTAAAATTAAGGATACCAGTAGGCTAATACCAATACAGAATCACTACATATAAATAACAAATGTTTGTATTTTGTAAATCTATGAAAACAAAATGTTTAGATACAAGCCTCATGGTTTCACCTAAGCCATAGAAAGGCAAAGCAGGATATTTCACAGTACTGATTCTGAGTACTGCACATTTATGAAATTTCTGATTGTTTTTGTTTATTATTATTTATTCATTTTTAAACTGAAATTGATTTTGAAGCATTCAAGGCTTACTTTCCGTGATTAAGAGCTGCAACATCATTTGCCATACAGGCCAGAAAAAAATAAAATTGTGAAAGCAAGACTGCAGATTACTGTCTACAATATATAACTAAAAATATTTAAAACAAGCTACTTTGTTCTGACTTTAAAGTCCCTTTGAAATATTTTTTTGTATTGAATCCTTCCTTTGAGCCTCCCTGAATTTATGGGAGCCCCCAAAACAAAGGGGGTCCACAAGCCACTGCAGATGGATGTTCCAGCATTTTATTATTCAACGTCCATGTGTCCGGTGGCAACACACTGAATGGAGGCTATATAAGAGGCCTGCGAATGATTCAGATCCAAGTGTAAGGTGCTACCTATTTACAGCTTCATTTCAACATATAGTATAGGTAAATAATGCCTTCTTCGAAATGTACTGTAGAACCATCAAGGAATGTTTTTAACATACTTCACAAATAAGAACTAAATTGTCACGACTGAACACATGTCCACCAAGTAAAGAAAATCAACACAAGAATATATACAGTACAAATTAATAGATGGTATTAACATCTGAAGCTCTATCAGTGATTCCAGGGAGCATGTGATCAGGGGGCCTCGGTAGAAACTGTATCTTAAGAAGTGTAGGCTAGGATGGGTTTAGAGATTGTTTGTGTTTGTGTGTGTCGTTGAGAGCTGTGTCTTTCGAGCATGAGTGCGTGAGTGCGAGCAAGCGAGCTGGAGAGAAAGATAGATGGGTGTTCACATTTGTGTGCATGCGTTTGTGAGTATTTCGGATGCACTTCCTTCTCCAAACCCTGCCTGGGTTCCACACACTGACCAGAGCAGCTGTTCCTTCACCAGTTCATGATGCAGTTTCTGTTCAAGGTCATGAAGTACACCTGGCTGCTACCTCCAGAGCGCACTGATGCAAAGAACACCTGGGGAACAGCACGGACCACAAAAGGACAACAGTGTGAGCGACGTCTTTAAATTCAGCTGCTATTAGTGACCTTACTTTCTCCACAAGTGTCTGCATCCCTCTTACCTTGTCATTTCTCTCACAAAGGAACTTCAGCCTCTGAGCTCTTTTGTGCATGAAGACACCATCCAGGTGGCCGGTCTCCACAGAGCGGATCTCAATGGCCTTTTCTCCCCATCCCATGATCTGATTTGAGCAGATATGAGCTGTAAGGCAAAATGTAATATTAGTTTTAGACAACCCGATTACAGTTTAGATGCAGCAGAAGATGCATCCACTTTTATCCATAAAGGTTTGATGTGACCCGCACCAACAGATGTGGGCATCTCGCCCCACTGCAGGACCACGTCCTTGATGATGCGTCCATAGGTGTTGACGTAGACACCCTCATCCTCGTAGCACAGCAACATCTCCATGCCGTCTGAACTGGGCAGGAACACAATTGCGTGCGGCGTCACATGGCTCTGGATCTGTTTGAGGAGACAACAGAAGGTATGATCTCCTGTAGGTTTCGCATCTCACATAACACCGCTGTCTGACAGCTGTCCTACTTACATGAACGGGGATATAAATGTCATAGTTGTTTCCGGAGTCCACGTCGATGGCATGGAAGCCAGCACAAGAGCCGTAGATGACCTTCAACCTTTGACCCTCCTCCACTGTCAGGTCAACCAGGACAGGCCTGTGTGGCAGGTCTGCAAAAGACTGGTTAAAAAGAGTGGCGGGGGGTTTTGGGAGCAGAAAGTGAGTGTGAGAAAATAATCATCTTAAATGCTCTTCTGGTTGCCTGATCTCGCATAACTAATCCAGCTCATTGGGAAAGGGAGACTTACCTTGAAGGCCATGAATTTGTGATAAGGTTTGGGCGCCCAAGCATACACTTCCACGGCATTCTTCAAAGCAATCACCAGGAACTTTATCCTCTCATATTTCACTAGATAGAACAACCACAAGGCCATCTGACATCAGATACTTGTTGATCAATAATTCACTCTGCCAAATGCATTCATGAGAATTTGTGTGGAGTAGAATAGACAGCAGTGATAAATAGCCATCATCTGTCACTCACCCACTTTATAGTGCACGCAGCCCTCCATCTCCCCCACAGTAGTCCAGCCTTGCTTTTTCTCCACCTCAGGATCATTGTGGAGGATCTTGTTCCTCAGCCAGGCCAGATAGTAGACACGCACCTTGTTTTTCTTGCCTTAATAGACAAAGAGGAGACCAATTTCAGTAATTATTTAAATGCATTTAAAGTATGGTTTAAATCGTCTTTTGACCTTACTAAATATA